CCTTCCTCCTCTTACCATGCCGAGTCTCAGCCCACACAGTTTTCGACATCGATGTGTATTGTGTATGAGCTTACAGACCTGTGGGTGTTCGTAAACCGTGGCAGGCATCAACAGCAGTTCAGCCAAATCGAGCGCTCTGGGCAAGAGCAGGCCGGTTTAGGGAATACGCGGTCTTCCAAGGTCAGTCTCGATGGTGCTGCTACTGGTGGCTGCGTGTTGCAAACTGTCCACACATGTAGACTGCGGAAGGTGCGAATCCATCCAAGCAGCTCTAAGAAATATGGTGGGCACCAGAAACCCTAAACCCTAAACCTGAAGCTTCCGATAGTTGCTAGACGCTTGTGGATTCGGTCTTCAGCACGATGAATCCCAAGTCCCGGTCTGCCATCGGTTTAGCAGTGCTTTCTCCAAGCGCCATACATCCGAAAGGGGTCCGAAACCCCAACCCTCAAGCCCCTAAACCCCTAAGCCCCTAAACCCTGAACCCCAAGTCCGACCCCAAAGAAACCGATTCCATGAATCTTCTGCTTTGAGAGGCCGGTGCAGTTCCTGATCTTCCTCCTTGCCTTCAGCTTCATCGTGTTCGTCCTCATCGCATCTTCCACGAGCATCTTGGCTCAGTCTGAGGGAGGTTTAGGGTCTTAGGGCCTTTTAGGATTCAGGGTTTGAGAGTTCAGGGTTTAGGGTTTTAGGGTTTAAGGTTTCAGAGTGCAGTAGAGTTTAAGGTTTCAGAGTTCAGGGTTTAAGGTTTTCGGTTTAGAAAAACCCGAAGGGAGTCGTGATGGTTCAGGTCTCACATAGGGGCTCTAGGTATGGGGATGTAGGTCCCCGGGCTTTCGGGGTCAATTGGTCCTTAAGGAAGTCGTATGAAGCCTATCACAGCCGAGCGTTTCTAGTTCTACGTCTCCTCTCCCAGCCTCTTCTTGAGCCCTTGAGACCTGACGTCTCTCAGGCAGGTCGCATAGGTCGCTCCTATGAGGCCCGACAGTTGGAGCCCCGATCAAAGCTAGCGGGGCTTTGTGAGCCGCCCTTCAAGAGAGTTCCTTGGCAAGAATCAGGAACTCTGTGACTCCTCGAAACACGCAAAACCCTAAACCGAAAAAATCTCTGTTTCGAGGTCTGGAAACCCTGATGTTTCAAAGCCACCGGAGCCCTAATTAGGCCCCCGGGCCCCCGATGTAGACATGATTTCTCGTTCTGAAGGAGCCAGAAAGAGGTTGGCCCCTCACTTCTTAGGGTTTAGTGCCCCTACAAACCTTAGAACATTACATATTAACCCCGAAACCCTGATGCTCTGAAGATCCCGGAAGCCATATCCTGAAACTGGTCCAACGCCTCCTGAACTTTCCTGCGCCACAGGTTTGGGACCCATTTCTGAGTTCCTGTACGGAGATGACCTGCCGGCCATGATCGCCAAGCCCTGAGAAGTAGTAGGGCTTAGGGTTTCGGGTAGGGCTTGAGCTTCGGGGTGGAGGGATGGAGGTAGGAATGGGGTTAGGACCTGTTTACTGGGCAACATGAAAACCTGGGCAGTACCCTGAGAGTGGTCCCGGTTGTGGCATTTCCACAACAGGCCTCGACCATCAGTCAACCGCAAAGTACACGCTACATTATGTCCTGTCATATGCACCCGCATAGCAACCCCTATAAGAATAGTCCGTATAGTAACCCCCATAATGGTAGGACAAGGTCGCCCTCTTTATGACCGCACATCGGGGCCCACGACGATGCAAAACCAAACTCTCAGGTCTGGCAAGGAGCTCAAGCGGTTTATGATCCCCAGGAATTTAGATTATTATTGTTTATTTTTTGCTATTATTATAACAATAATATTGTTAATATGTTGAGTAATTATTGTTATACTTGGTACTAATTGTTAGTATTAGTATGTCAAAAGCTTCCTTTACAAGCCAGGACTTGCACAACTCCAGTTGCCCGTCAACTGTACAGGCCGCGACAGCTACGAAGCTGTAGACTGCCTCCGCATACGAGCGGTGTGGGGAGTGCCTTCACGAAGCTCGTTTTCTGGTCTAAGTTCCATAGTAGGCCAAGCCATTCTTCACTTTACCCGTGTTTGTGGCCACGAATGTGACTTTAAGATCTTGAGCAGCTTCAGGCCGCAAAGGAACATGCACATAGTGCTCACGGTGACGACACCCATCATGATGAAGGAGGTGCGAGCCACGTGCCTTGGCTGTGAGTATGACATTCGGAAGCAGCACCGGCCACAACCAAATCCGTAGCGACGAGCACGCTCATCGCCACGGTTGGCACAGTGTCAGTAACTGCATGGAGCCTTCGGAGAACATAGTTGCTGGGGTTCCTTGCCAGCCGCAGACTTGGATGAAGGGAAGGTTCGAAGGCTGCATCCGATCCCACGACCCGTGTGACCTTCATTCACTCGGGTCAGTTCGGTGGAATTCCTACGGTTTTGGTCACTGCAAGAATTAGAAAAAGAGTGAACTCTCGCAGTGAATCGCGACAGTATAGCCTCTAAAACCCTGCTACCCCGAAAGCCCCAAACCCACAATTCAAATCCCTAAAGCCCTCAACACCCTAAAGCCCTTATAACCCCTGGAACTCTCTCTTAGCCCATTAAACCTTCAGATTCCAGACCAAGGTCAAGCCGAGAACCCCAAAACCAGACCGTTCTTAATAAGGCATTACGGAGCATAGAAGCCTGCTGAATGTCGCAACCTCGGCGCCCACTCCCTTCCGCAGCACCGTTCATGGGAGCGTCACGAACGCTCGGCGCCCACAGCCTTCCCCACTGCACAACGTCATCCCACGAATGTCGCCCCGAAAGCCTTCGCATGCATTCGATTCGCCCTGTCAGGCACGTCCACGCGAACTCTCAGCGCCAACAGCCTTTCCCAGCACCGTCCACGGCAGCATCACACTCACTCGCAGCCTTTTCCAACGCGGCACCCGCAGCTTTCCCAGCCCCGAGCTTCACAACGCTCGGTGCACGCAGCTTTCCCTGGCCCCATGCACACGGTCCCGTGCACACTTCCTCTTCGCTTGAATAAGCGCTCGGAAGTGAACGAGGAAAGAAAGGACTAAACAAGAATACCTTGTAGTAAACTATATAGCAACCCTTATAGTATAAACCTAAGTAACCCTTACCTACCCGATTTTTGAAAAAACAATCCCTCTCAGGCGGCCTCGGAGCATGACTCCGGCGAGCACACCGATGGCCACACCGACACCGAGGAGCGCAGCCATACTCTTCGACGGAAGCAAATAATCAACATATATATATATATACATACATACATACATGCAGATAAATATATATATATATATATATATATATATATTTATATACAGATAAAAGATACATTAATATACTAATGTTCGGTTTCGGGGAATTCAGTGGAGCATGCAGCAGTATTTGTAAGGTTGCATACAGGCCCTGAGCGCGACAAAAGGTGCTGCGCACCTCTTCGTCCTACCTGGCTCTCACCATCATGGGCACACATTCACTGGAAGCCGACAACATGACAGAAAATGAACGGCCATCACTGAACACAGGCCTTACACACACACACACACACGCAGAGACAATATACAGTTGGCTAACTAGAACAATACATGTAATATGTGCATACAGGTATATACACCTGTATGCGTGTGTGTGTGTGTGTGTGTATTTTCGGTATGTCTTGGCATGTATGTATGTATGTATGTATGTATGTATGTATGTATGTACGCATACAGACATGTTTTCATATTGCCCCCCGAAGATGGAAGCTCAGAAGGTCGCCAAGCCGTAAGCCGAGTCCCGAGGCAGAAGAGGATCGAGGAACATAGTTTGAGTTCTAAGCCTCAGGCTGCAAGACCATATTGGATGGGCAAGATATTATCTAACACCGTCTGTTATAACATGCTGTGCTAGATTAGACTATATTTCATAATAGTATGTTGTGTCATATTGCAGCATGTTGTGCTTTGCTAAACTATGCTATGCACTGCTATGTTAAATTAGATCAAGGCATGTGAAATTATAGCCCTAAACCCTAAACCCTAAACCCACTGTATATTATTCACCATACATCAAGCTTGAAGCCCTGCAGGACCACGCTGCTGCCACGACCACGTACAACACAGAATGGGCTGCCGTTGAGGCCTGCTGCTACGGTTTAGGGTTTAGGGTTTAGGATTTGGATCACTGCCCTTGGTTTAAA